TTTGCAGATGACATGATATTCTATGTGGAAAGCCCAAAAGACTCCACCCCAAAACTGCTAGAACTCATACAGGAATTAAGCAAACAGGCAGGATATAAAATCAATGCACAGAAATCAACTGCATTTCTATACACTAACAATGAGACAGAAGAAAGAGGAATTAAGGAGTTGATCCCATTTACAATTGCACCCTAGGAATAAACCTAACCAAAGAGGCAAAGGATCTGTACTCAGAAAACTACAGAATACTCATGAAAGAAATTGAGGAAGACACAAAGAAATGGAAAAACGTTCCATGCTCATGGATTGGAAGAATAAATATTGTGAAGATGTCAGTGCTTCCTAGAGCAATCTACACATTTAATGCAATCCCTATCAAAATACCATCAACTTTTTTTCACAGAGCTAGAACAAATAATCCTAAAATTTGTATGGAACCAGAAAAGACCCCAAATAGCCAGAGGAATGTTGAAAAAGAAAACCAAAACTGGTGGCATCACAATTCCGGACTTCAAGCTCTATTATGAAGCTGTAATCATCAAGACGTATGGTATTGGCACAAAAACAGACACATGGATCAATGGAACAGATTAGAGAACCCAGAAATAGACCCTGGACTCTATGGTCAACTAATATTCAACAAAGTGGGAAAGAATATCCAATGGAAAAAAAGTCTCTTCAACAAATGGTGTTGGGAAAATTGGACAGCCACATGCAGAAGAATGAAACTGTAACATTTCCTTACACCATACACAAAGATAAACTCAAAATGGATGAAAGACCTAAAAGTGAGACAGGAATCCACCAAAATCCTTGAGAACACAGGCAGCAACCTCTTCGACCTCAGCTGTAGCAACTTCTTGCTAGATATGTCTAGCAAAAATGAACTATTGGGACTTCATCAAGATAAAAAGCTTTTGCACAGCAAAGGAAATAGTTGACAAAACCAAAAGACAACCGACAGAATGGGAGTAGATATTTGGAAACGACATATCAGATAAAGGGTTAATATCCTAAAGTCTCAAACTCAATACTCAAGGAACAAATAATCCAATCAAGAAATGGGCAGAAGACATGAAGAGACATCTCTCCAAAGATGACATACAAATGGCCAACAGACACATGAAAAAAATGTTCAACATCACTCGACACCAGGGAAATACACATCAAAACCACAATGAGATATCACCTCACACCAGTCAGAATGGCTAAAATTAACAAGTCAGGAAATGACAGATGTTGGCAAGGATGCGAAGAAAGGGGAACCCTCTTACACTGCTGGTGGGAAGGCAAGCTGGTGCAGGCACTCTGGAAAACAGTATGGAGGTTCCTCAAAAAGTTGAAAATAGAGCCATTCCACTCTTAGGTATTTACCCAAGAAAAATGAAAGCATATGTCCATTCAAAGCCCTGTACACAAATGTTCATGGCAGCTTTATTTTTAATAGCCCAAACTGGAAACAACCCAAATGCTCATCAACAAAGGAACAGATAAACAATCTGTGGTACATGCAGACAATGGAATGCATTTCAGCAATAAAATGAACTACTGACACATGCTAGAACATGGATGAATCTCAAAATAATTATGTTGAGTGAAAAGACAGACCCCCGCCAAAAAAAGAGTACATACTTTATGATTTTATTTCTATAAAATTCTAGAAAATGCAAACTGAAGTAACAGAAAGCACATCAGTGGTTGCCTGGGGATTAGGGTGAGTGAGAAGAGGTGGGATGGAGGGATTAAAAAGAGGTATCAAGAAGCTTTGGGAGTGCTGGATATGTTTACTATCTTCCCAGATACATATTATGGCAAAACATATTATACTCATTAAATATGTTCAAATTATTGTATGTCAGTTATACATCAATAAGGTTGTCTTAAAATGATGCAGTAAACAAAAGTGAAAGGCAAATAAAGTAGGAATGATGCAAAATATGTGCTGGTTAAAACTTATTCTTACCAGACAGGTGACTATAAAACACTGATGAAACAGACTGAAGATGACACAAACAAATGGAAAGATATTCTATGCTCATGGGATGGAAGATGTCCATACTACCCAAAGCAATCTACAGATTTAATGCAATCCCTATCAAAATACCAACAACAGGAGTGCCTGGGTGGCTCAGTCAGTTAAGCGTCTGCTTTCGGCTCAGGTCATGATCCCAGGGTCCTGGGATTGAGCCCCATGTGGGGCTCCCTGCTCAGCTGGGAGCCTGCTTCTCCCTTTCCCTCTGCCACTCCCCCCTGCTTGTGCTCTCTCCCTCTCTCTCTCTCAAATAAATAAATAAAATCTTAAAAAAATACAAACAACATTTTTCACAGAACTAGAATAATACTAAAATCTGTATGGAATCACAAAAGACCCCGAATAGCCAAAAAAATCTTGAGAAAGAAGAACAAATTGGAGGTATCACAATCTCAGACTTCAAGATATACTACACAAAGCTATAGTAATCAAAACTGAATGGTACTGGCATGAAAATAGATACATAGGTCAATAAAACAGGACAGAGAGCCCAGGAATAAACCCATGCTTAAATGGCCCATTAATCTAGAACAAAAGAGGCAAGAATATACAATGGGGAAAAGACGGTCTCTTCAACAAATGGTGTTGGGAATACTGGTCGGCTACATGCAAAAGAATGAAACCGGACCACTTTTATATCACACACAGAAATTAACTCAAAATGCATTAAAGATCTAAATATGAGACCCCAAACCATAGAGCTCCTAGAAGAAAACATAGGCAATACTTCCTTTGACATCAGCCATAAAAACATTTTTCTCAATATGCCTCCTCAGGTAAGAAAAACAAAAGCAAAATTAAACTATTGGGACTACACCAAAATAAAAGGCTTTTGCACAGAGAAGGAAACCAGCAACAAAATGGCAAGGCAGCCTATTGAATGGGAGAAGATATTTGCGAATGATGTATCTGATAAGGGGTTAATATCCAAAATGTATAAAGAACTTAGAGGACTCAACACCCCTAAAACCCAAATAATCTGATTAAAAATGAACAGAAAACCCGATTCAACATTTTTCCAAAGAAGACATATAGATGGACAACAGATAGAAAAAAAATGCTCAATACCCCTCATCATCAGGGAAATGCTAATCAAAACCACAAGATATCACCTTACACTTGTCAGAATGGCTAAAATAAAAACCACAAGAAATAACAAGTATTGGCAAGGATGTGGATAAAAAGGAACCCTCATGCGTTGTTGGAAGGAATGCAAATTGGTGCAACCACTGTGGAAAACAGCATAGAGGTTCCTCAAGAAACTAAAAATAGAATTACCATATATTCCAGTAATTCCATTACTGGGTATTTACCCAGAGAAAATGAAAACACTAATTCGAAAAGATATATGCACCCCTATGTTTATTGCAATGTTATTTACAATAACCAAGATATGGGAGTGACTGAAGTGTCCATCCATCGATGAATGGATAAAGAAGACAAGGCACATACACACACACACACACACACACACACAAATGATGGAATGTTACTCAGCCATAAAAAAGAATGAGATCTTGCCATTCACAACAACATGGATGGACCTAGAGCATATAATACTAAATGAAGTCATAGAAAGACAAAAAGCCATATGATTTCACTCATATGTGGAATTTAAGAAACAAATGAAGAAAGAAAAAAAGAGACAGAAAAACATTCTTTTTTAAAAATTTTTTATTTATTTGAGAGAGAGAGAGAGCGAGAGAGCACCAGCTGGGGAGTGGGGGCAGAGGGAGAGAAGCAGACTCCCTGAGGAGCAGGGAGCCCAACGCAGGGCTCGATCTCTGGACCCTGAGATCATGACCTGAGCCAAAGGCAGATGCTTAACTGACTGAGCCACCCAGGTGCCCCCCCCAAAAACATTCTTAAATATGGAACAAACTAGTAGTTGTTGCCATAGGGGAGGTGGATGGGTGTGGGGGTGAAATAGGTAAAGGGAGGGGGTTAAGAGTATACTTATCTTGATGAGCACTGAGTAATGTAGAGAATTGTTGAATCATATTGTACACCTGAAACTAATATAACATTGTATGTTGATTATACTTCAATAAAAACATACATGAGACAAGTGTACACATACACATACACACATCTGCTCACACCGTCAAAGGACACATATAGGAGAAAGAAAATAGCAGTGGCTATTAAGGATATGAAACGTATATAGTTTCACTAGTAATCAAAGAAATAAAAACTAAAATAATAGGACACCTCATTTCACCTCCCAAATTGACAAAGTAATAGAGAAAAGATACAGTTTTCTGTAAGGGCATAAGGAAACAGTCATTTTTGTACATTGCTGGAAGAACAGGATGGGTATATTCTTTTACCAGGTAATATCCTTCTAGGAATTTATATAAGGCAATGTCTTTTTTGTTTTGTTTTAGCAATAGAGGCAGGATGGAAGAGGTAGAACATAAAGAGGGATGAGACCATGAAGATGGGAAACGTGGCTTCTTTCATCTCCAAGTCTGTATTTCTTTACAGGCTTGTTTTATCTGAAGTAGGTGTTGTGATTTCAGGTAACTTTATATTTCCTTCTTTTTGCTTATATGTATTTTCTAAATTTTCTGCAAAGCCTATTACTTCTGTAATTAGAGGAAATGTGATGTGAAAAATTTTACGTTACTTCAAAGTCTAATTATAAAGTACTACAATGAAAAAGGCAATATATATTTCCAGAAAATAATTTGATAATAAGAATCAAGAAACTTTAGGTAAGGTCATTTCTTTTAACCAGGTATTTCTCCAAATTGTAAGCTGTGACTGAAAATAATGAAAATCTATAAGGAAGGAATTTGAAATTAAAAAGTTTTTATAAAAGAATTTTTATCCCAATTTTATTAATATTTTTCCACTTTGCCCCCTTTTTTTTACAAATATAATAAAAATTAATTATAGAAAAACCAGAAGATACAACCTCTTCCCATCTTATGGGAAAGCTTTGTCATGGATCTATGGACAATACCTTTTTGTGAATGGCACAAAATATACTGTATTGCTCAGATTCATCTTAGCAGCAAACTCTTTGTCCTCTTTTAAAACTTCAGTCTTTTGCATTTATGGCGCACCTATGGAAAAGAAGAATGAAATATATAATTATAAAAGCAAAATTAAGGAAGCCATGATTGATCATATGGTAGCTTTAAAATTTTACACATGTAATATTACAAAGTTAAAACTTTTACCTTCATCTGTTTGTGAATGACAAATGCAAAAGGTAAGATCTGCACATCAAAGACTCGGGCTACACTTTCACAAGCAATACCAGGAAAAAAAATGTCCTTAGATTTCAGAATCTATATTGAGACTTCCATTGGTTTGAGTCCAGGGAAACTCAACAGAGTCTACCAGTAGACAGGACTAATCTGACAGTTGTGGTGATGCTACTGATTGTCAGTAAGGCTTATATTCTGAATTGCTTTTCCAATAAGCATGATGATTTACATTGGCTCATCTATCTCCCCATTCCTAGGCTCTCTTATAACCAGTCTTCTGCATTTGGGGGGTAATGATTATTCTTTATTATCTGTTAAAGATGTATATGCCCAATGTAGAAAATCTGGGAACTAAATACTATTATGAAGAAAAATCTATAATCCTACCCAGGACAAAGTTCATTAACAATTTGGCATACTTTTCTCCATGCTCATATTTATTTCTTCATGCTCATATTTATTTTGTTGTATACAGCTGAGATCATTTATACATATAATTCCATAGTGTACCTCTTTAATTCTAGATTATGAGCATTTTTGCCATGTTATCTATCACTGTTCACAAAGATCATTCTAATGACTGCTCAATGTGTATCTCCCAATGTATACCTTCCTATTCATTCACAACTCCTTCTCCACAATTAGAAGCCAAGGCTGTATTCAACTCTTTGTTGAACTATTAAACATTACTGTGTTTGGAAGATCTTTGTGCATATTATTTATCTACATTTTAGGGCTTTCTTTGGAATGGATTTCTAGTACTAGAGTTCTGCGGTCAAAGAATATAACAATTTAAAACATATAATACGTATATTGAAATAATTTTTAGGTAACCTGACTGCTTTGGAGACGAAGGCCTTACAGAGGGGGAAAAAAACTAAAAAAAAGGTATTGACTTCCACTTTCACATTTTTCCTGTTGAGGTTATTCCAATCTCCTCACATGTCTATACTTATAAACTAATCTTTATCATTATTTTTATTATTCCCTCTGATTCTATGGCTGTGAAATGTTACATGAAGTGGTAGCTATTATTGCCAGAATTCTGTACCACATTTTACCTAACCATCAAACGTCAAACCAATCAATAATTGCCATGTCTGCATATCTATCCTGCTAATCTAGCATGACTATAGCTTCAATAAACTAAAAAATTCTTTGAACACTAGTTGCAAGATTTCTAAGAAAGTAATTTAAAATAAGGCATTTACTAATATCCTCATGTCCTAATATCAAATGCAAGAGGAACTATTCATTTGGACTGCATTTGGACATGCTATGGACATGCATGCTCAGTATTTTCTTTCTTTAAATACTTCTTCATTCTTACATAATTTTCTTAAAACATGTTCTCTACGGTTGCATAGCTCTATAAATATTCTAAAATAAGCTCTATGACTTCTAGGAATTACATTTTCTCGGTTTTATCTTTTTTTTTTTTTTTTTTTTTTTTGCCCCTTGCTGGAAGACTGCACATGCTATTGAGGCTGAAAAGTATACTCTTAAGTTTATCCATTACACCTAAGGGATGTTCTCAGCTTTCTTCCATTCCACAAGCTCCCTTTTTCTTTATAAATGTCTCTTGAATTCCATAAAACTGTCTTTTCTTGTTTTTCCAAATTATTCCTCCTACAGTTTCTCTTCTCTCTGATTTCTTTTTTTTTAAGATTTTATTTATTTATTTGACAGAGAGAGACTCAGAGAGAGAGGGAACACAAGCAGGGGGAGGGAAGAGGGAGAAGCAGGCTTCCCGCCGAGCAGGGAGCCTGATGTGGGGTTTGATCCCAGGACCCCAGGACGATGACCTGAGCCGAAGGCAGACGCTTAACGACTGAGCCACCCAGGCGCCCCTCTCTGATTTCTAAATAAAAGTTCCTCCAAGTATTTGCCTGAAGCCCTATGTGTGACTGCAAGCTGCTCTAACTTCTGTCCATTCAATGGTTTCCAGTAAGGCTAAGGCATTACATTGTGCTGACCTCCTTTCCAAGCCCCAGCCCCATATTTTCAAATATCTTTTTGGCTTCTCCCCTCACTTATACCTTACATTAACTTTGACCTTTCCACTGCCCTCTCAATTAATTCACAATTCTGTTTCAAATATTTCCTTTTATCTGTTTCTTTGCTTTTCCACTTCTGTTATCTTTTTCCTCTGCTTCTACTTGGTCAGACTCTAGTCTATCTTTTCTGGAATTCATCTTTTTTTTGGCAATTTTATTTATTTATTTGACAGAGAGAGAGAGAACAAGTGTGTGTGGGTGGGGAGAGGCAGAGGGAGAAGGAGAAGCAGACTCCCTGCTGAGCAGGGAGCCCAACACGAGGCTAGATCCCAAGCCTCCAGGATCATGACCTGAGCTGATGGCAGACGCTTAACCAACTGAGCCACCCAGGCGCCCCCGGAATTCATCTTAAAAACACTATTATCATAATCATCTTCCTGAAGCAAAGGTGAGATATCACATCTCTGCTCAAAATCCTTCAATGTCCCCCTACGGCCTACAGTATAAAGAATAACTTCATGTAACTAACATTCAAAACTGGCCTCAAACCACTACTCTAACCAAAATTCTTCAACTCCATAATCAGGAAAACTGAACTACTATACAGTTACATTTTCATACCTTTTTATTTGCTTATGCTGTTCCCTCTGACTAGAATATCCAAATCCCAACCACTCTCACAGTCCAGGAGAACATCATCTCTGGTATAAGACCTACCACTTTCCCCCTTTGCTTCAGTTTTAAATACATATATATTAGTACTCTTACTGTATGACAAGGGCTTCTTCAGAGGAGGATACATGTCTAACCCTATGTTTTGATTAATCATTCTATCTCATGATACCTTTTTCTAAAAAGCATTTTTTTTAAGATACAATTCACATACCATACAACTCACCAATATAAAGGATATAATTCAATGTTTTTTTTGTTTTTTTTTTTAAGATTTTACTTATTTATTCGACAGAGAGAGAGAGAGAGCATGAGTAGGGGGGAGGGGCAAAGGGAGAGGGAGAAGCAGGTCTCCAGCTGAGTGGGGAGCCCTACATGGGGCTCAACCTGAGGATCCTGGGATCATGACCTGAGCCGAAGCAGATGCTTAACCACCACCCAGGCACCTCTGTAATTCAATGGTTTTTAGCATATTCACTGGTTTATGCAGTCATCACCATGGTCAATTTTAGAATATTTTCATCACCACAAAAAGATGTCCTATGCCCTTTAGCTATTACCCTACCACCCCTCCATTCCTAAGCAACCACTAGTCTACTTTCTGTCTCTATAGATTCCCCTCTTCTGGACATTTCCTTTGAATGGTCTTTGTGACTGGCTTCTTTCACTTGGCATGCTGTTTTTAAGGTTTATTCATGTGGTAGCATGAATCAGTATTTAATTTCTTTTATTGCTGAATAATACTCCATTATATAAATATACCACATGTCGTTTACCAACTTATAAGCTGATAGACATTTGGGGTTGTTTCTACATTTTGGCTACTACGAATAATGCTATTATAATTGCTTGTGTACTATTTTTTGTGTGGGCATACATTTTCATTTCTCTTGATTATATACCTAAGAGTCAAATTGTTGGGCCCTGTGACATCTTTATACAGCAGGTACTCTATAAAAGTCTGCTGAAATCTCTTTCCCTTTTCCATCCCAGCCCTACTCTCAAAGTGATCTCTAAATTCATCCTTCCCTCAAAACATGAACAAGGACATTTTTCCTTCAAGAGGACTGCATTTTAAGAATTAACTGAAGATTAAATGATATGCATGGAATTATTTTTTCCCCTCTCTTGACCTCCCGCAACCTCAGGTACTGCATTTATAGTGAGAACTGAGAACTGTGCCAAGAATGCAGTATTTCTGGTCTTGGGCCCTTGGGCCAACTGAACAATCCAGCCAGCTTAGAGTAGAAGATTTCAACAGAGATGTGCAACTAGAATAATTTTCTTCACTCTTTACTCTAAGAAATGGAAATCTTTCAACAATGATAATCAAATTATTTTTCATAGACATCCTAACTTAATATAATGAACAACGCTTGATAGAGAGTAGAAATATTTTTCACGATTTCCCTTTTCCCAGCAACTTTCAAGAAAGATGATTCACGGAAGATCTTAGTTGACTTTCAATGTTGTAGTCACACTACTTCAACAATAAACCTGAAGCCAACTATTTTGAAAAACCCCAATACTTCAGCATTAGGGAAAAAGAATCACAATGTTTCGTATCGGAAAGATTTTAAAGCTCAGACATTTCAACTCTTTTTTTTTTTAAACTGAATCTCAGAAAAGTGTCAAATCACACCTATGTAGTAGTGTTACCCCAAATCAAAATATCAGGTCTTCTGATTTCCCACTCCAGAAAACTTCCTTCTGAATCAAGTTGCCTAAGTCAGACTTCAAAACACCAAAAAGTTTTTCTATTTTGCTAATTAGAGGGTGATCAAGAAAAGTTTAATCAAACGTAAAATTGGACTTCTGTGTTATTATTGCTCCAAAATATTTTTTAACACTTGAGTATGTAGTGGTAGATTCAGTTCTTATGTAGACTGAAGCATCAACAAATTTGGGGATCTATTTAAGAAAAAAATTTTTACAAAATTCCCACATAGAAATAAGTATTAGGGCCTCAGAGGGGGCTGGTGCAAACAATGGGCTCTGAAACTTAAACCTCACTGTAAATTAGCCCATGTAAATTCCTATTATCTTGCTCCCAGAGGGTAGAGGCAGGTAAAATCTTCATTTTACAGCAATGAAAAATGAAGTACAAATAGTTGATAGGACTTTTTCAAAGTTAGAACTAGTCCAGTTTTTCTTCCTACTATAATACAACTACCCATACAGCCT